GCTTCTGGTTTCAAAGGGTTCTGGGTTTGGGGCTTCTGGGTTTCAAGGTTTCTGGGTTCAGGGCTTCTGGGTTTAGGTTTTTTGTTTTATCCACGTCCACAGCAGCTCAGTCCCTGTGCAAAGCTCAAAGCCAAGGCAACAGTTTACAGCAAAGAGCGGCAGGCAGCGCAGGCAGAGCGCAGTCACACCACACGGCTGGCGAGCGAAAGTTGGGAAGGCGAGTCGGCGAGGAGTCGGCGAGGATGTCGCTCAGACGTAAAAGCTCCCCGTCAACATTTGCCGTGCCGGTAAGGGGCAGGGACAACAGGCTGGCTGCGGAAGAGCGCGCGGCTGCAAAGGAAGGGAGCGCAGACCACCAGAGAGTGAAAGCGGGTTCCAGGGGTTCTGGGTTTCGCGCATCGGTTTAGGGCTTCTGGTTTCAAAGGGTACTGGGTTTGGGGCTTCTGGGTTCAGGGTTTTGGGTTCCACGGGTTCTGAGTTTAGCGCTTCGGTTTAGGGTTTCTGATTTCAAAGGGTTCTGGATTTTGTGCATCTGGGTTTGAAAGTTTCTAAGTTCAGGGCTCTGGGTTTAGGGTTTTTGGTTTCAAGGGTTGTGAGTTGATGTTCATGGGTTCTGGATTTAGAGTTGTTTCATGCAAAAGCTAGGTTTGATGGCTGTGTGGCTGTGGAACATGTCAAGGCAGAGAAGCCCCAATTACTCTTCTTGCTGTGCTGTGCATGAACTTCTGGTGGATCATGTCCCGAGATTCCACAAAGAAACGTTTCATAAATGCTTGTTGTGCAGCGCGCGGGCGATGGAGAGGGGGGGCTCGTATCTGTCAGCGATCTGTCTTCTAGTCAAGAAATTGAACAGCCGCAGTACACCCTGTGTTGTGCCGCATGCCCAAATTTTCCGACTTGGGACCGTCTGAAATAATCGCGCCGTTTACTGCAGAACGTTGCATCTGTGGCATTGAGTTTTGGTACGTTTCCGCAATGGGGTGCGTGGCGTAAATACGTGGGTCTGAAATCGAGTCTTCAAATGACTACCAGTGACTTGACTACCAGTCGCCCAAATGGGTCCACTACCTGTCTGGTAGTCAGTGCCGACACAAGCTGATGGGATGGCATGGGATGGCCAGGACATGCCAGGACAAGGGTCACCCGTAGCATCCCGTAGCCATTTTCGCTCAAGATGCTCAAATTTTTCATGTTGAAGGCAGAGAGCTAACGTGCTTAAGTTTGTAGGCTTTTTTTGGGACTTGAACTTCTTCTCGAGCACTGCTGTCGTCGCAAACCGGGCCGCATGCAATGCAAGCCTTCAAAGCCTTCGCCGTTTTCTTCACCTCCGCACAATGCAATCGCTTTCCCGGAGCGCCTGGCGACCTTATGTGTCTCTTCTTCTGCCGGCTGCAGCCACAGAGAACACGTCGAAGACCCCGTTGGGTTCCACTTCTTGCACCAGCTGCAGCCACAGTGAGCACCTGACGACTTCTTGAACCAGTTGCACACACAGTGAGCACCTGACGAGACCAGCTGGCCCCTGGATTGACACCGAAGCCTACGGCCCTTTGCCTCAGCGCAGCTCTCAGCGCCTGTATAGTTTTAGAACTAGGTGCTGCCAAGACCGCTGTAGGATCTCTGGGGCTGTTGGCTTTGGGGGCTGAAGCAGCACGCTGGCTCCGACTGCTTCCAAAGCTGTTGCTTGCGCACTCGCAAGTTGGGCCGCACGCTGCTCGTGCAGCTCGCCCCACCCGGCCAACGTTCACCGAAGCCTGCCCACTCTTCCGACCAATCGTCCTGCGCAGACTCCCCACTGGCCACGCGAACTACTCCTCCGCCGACACCTTTAGGGAGGAGATTCGGGCCACCTTCGTTGAGGCATGGTCATTGGACCATGCACGCGCGCCGAAGCAGCAGCGCACTGCCAGTGTGCAGAGGAAGAGCTCTGCCCCTGCCCCATGGCGGGAATTGATGAGTCGGACAAGATCCGTTCCATCTTTGATGGCCCTGATCCTGAGGAGCAGGATACCTCGGCTGCCTCGGGGTCTCTTGAAACCGCCCTTGGTGCGGTAAACAGAGAACAGGACGGTCCTGCGGAGAAGGCAGACTCCAGTGCCGGCTCCGGCCGACCCTGGTGCTTCCCGGGCTCTGACGATGATTGGATCCTGCTCAAGGCTGATGTGACTAAGGCGCACAGGAGAATCAAGATTCTCCTACGAGAGTGGCGTTACCAAGTGGCCCAGCTTGGTGAGGAATGGTGGGTCAACACCGTAGGCACCTATGGAATGGCCAGTGCCCAGCTCTACTGGGGAAGGATGGCTGCCATCCTTCTTAGGATTGTATATGCTGTGTTTCCCGAGGTCGACTGGGGTTTTGTTTTTGTCGACGACTTTGCCTGGCTACTCCGTAAATCGAACTCCCCTCTGCTGGCAACAGCAATTTGCTTGCTGTTACTTGCTCTCGGCACTCCTCTGAGCTGGAAGAAAACCCTGCTTGCTGAGGTCAATACTTGGCTTGGCTTTGTCATTGACCCAAAAGGACCCTGTGTGCAGATGGCCCGTGACAAGCACCTGCTTGTCACCGGCATTCTTGAAGAGCTTAAAAGCGGTAAAGTCATGTCGGCTTCTCAGATCGCTAGTGCTTTGGGTAGGCTGCAGTGGGCGACAACGGCCTGCCCCCTCACCAAGCCTTTCCTCCAACCCTTTTGGGCTTGGAAGAAGGCCTGCCTGACTGCAGGACGTCCGGGTAAGCTTATCCGGGCACTCTCAGCTCTGCTCCTCTCTCTTTTTGACCAGAAGTTCAGACAAGCATCGCCGTATGCCCCGCTTGCCATTTGGTCGGGGGCAAGTGATGCTAGCGCTTCAGATGATGGCAGCGCCTATGTGGGCGGCTGGCTTTCCAACGTGGACTCCCCGTCTAAGTCGGAAGTCTTCTAGAAACCCTGGCAGGAACTACGCCCCACCAAACCGGTCAAAACTTGAACCGACAATACGTGAACAACAAGTTGCCAACAAGGAAACTACTTCCGCTGGGAATCTCCCCTCGCAGCATACACGAAGCGTAGCAGACACCACTCAGGTCTGACCCCCCTGAGGCGGGACAAATGGCACAACTTTTCATGTCGCGATTCCCGACGGTCTGCCACTCCCTCGTGGTTAATAAGGATAGTATCCACCACCTCTGGTGTGAGCAATGCCAGCAAAACCAAACTAGCAAGCTATAGAGCTCCAAAAGATGACTCAGCACAACATTGGCAGTAGCTTACAATAACAACAATGCTCACATCTGCAGGGATAACGCCGCTTAGCACGGCCACCCTACTGCGATTCCTCTCATAATCGCGTGTTTTGGGGAGATCAAAAAGTGATCCCCCGACCTGACCGAGCCAGCGTCCCGGCAACAGATCTGCATCATTTCGTTCCCCCCCTCCACAGAGGGGGTGCTCCGTGGCAACTCGCACTCTACGAGGACAATCGCACCACCCAGGGCTTTAGCCCGACTCGCGCATTTTGTCGCTGCACTTTCCAGTGCATCTCGCGACAGTGCGACCAATGAACCTCGTGCCGAAAAGCCGAAGCAGGGAATTCCCTGATCTCATAAAACCTTAATAAGGCTTTAATAAGGGCTTAATAAGGCTTTAATCAGGGCTTAATAAGGCTTTAATAAGGGCTTAATAAGGCTTAATAAGGGCGTAACAAAGCCTTAATAAGAGAAGTTTCACAACCGTTGTTTCCGAGCGGAAGTTTCCGGACCGTTGTTTCCGAGCGGAAGTTTCCAGACCGTTGTTTCCGAGCGGAAGTTTCCAGACCCTTGTTTCCGAGCGGAAGTTTCCAGACCCTTGTTTCCGAGCGGAAGTTTCCAGACCGTTGTTTCCGAACGGAAGTTTCCAAACCGTTGTTTCCGAGCGGAAGTTTCCAGACCGCTTGCCGCTCACTGCCACCAGATGCCGGTGCCGTGCACTGCCTCACTATTTGGTGGAGACCAACCACGGATTTGCCGCGAGACTGGTGCGGCTGAGCGGCACCATGGCCGCCTTAGGCCGCGGCCCAGCTGGCTGTTGACACTATGCTGGTGTCCCCTGTAAAATCGCACTGGCGCCGTGCTGCTGCTCGATTCAAAACGAGCCAAGGACAGGTCAAGGAGCGCACTTAGTTAAAGTATCGTTAAGCTGTGCAGGTCTTGCGGCTGCAGGCTCACCGTCCTTGCAAACGCAGTCGGCAGCCGCTGGAGTGCTGAGGCCGCCATCTTCGTCCGACCACTTGCGCAGTGTCACCTTCCGGCGGTCCGCCCTGATGTCCTTCGCCGCAGCGCGCTCCTTCGCAGCAAGCTTTCTGTGGCTCCCACTCGCCGGCACCGGCGAATGTCGATGGAGCTACCTCCCTACGAAAAGAAGGCTCGTGCTGCGACGCAACCCTCGTCTCCCACCGTACTCGCGCTGGCCGCCCCGTCTCCGGTGCCGACGCGCGGGCGGGAGTCGCGCTTGTCGCAGCACGCCAACTTCAAGTAACGCACTACCCGGAGTTGACACCCGCGAACGGCTTCAACGACTTGTAGTCCTCGCTGCAGAAGTCCGGGGCCGCTGGAGCGACGAGTTCGTGTCCAAGGCGCCCCACCACCCTTTCGCGCCTCTGCAGACCAGAGCTGGTGGTGCTGGTGGTGCCGCCGCTGCATGGTGTGCCAGACGCGCTCCTGTTGGGTGTCGTGTTGGACCTCGCGATAGCAAGTGCCCCGAGCCGGCTGCCGGTTCGCTAGCATCCCGTGACCGTCTAGGTATTTACCGACGGTGCGACACGTTGTGCGGACGTAAAAGGTGCTTGAAAAATGGGGGGAAATACCCCCCTTGAGCGATATGTTCGCCGACTCTGTCTCACGCGCTGCGCCTGGCAGCATGCCGGTGTCGATGACCTAGTGGCTCGTTGGACGGTCAAGGTGCAAACAAAATCAAAATCACCATGCACGGCCTGACTGGGACCGTGTGTGCTGGCTGAGAAGCGTGTGCGTGAACACAAAAACGAAAGGTGGCGCCAAATTTGTGTGGCGTTGGTCGCGTCGGAGCTTTGGCCGGGTGCCGAGACTAGTGGCCGTGGTCACTTTCTGTCCGGCATTGCACTCGCGCATGTATCCCGCCAGGCTTGGATGTTGGAAACCTCTCGCACTAGCTGGGACCGTGCCTGCTGAGTGCCTGAAGGCCCTGTGACAACAGCACCGAACGGTGAGCAAACCCGCTGTTGAGCACGTTTTGTTTTTTTGTGACCGTTGTTTCCGGGCCGCAGGAACTGCTTCTGTTGCCGTTGGAGATGTTGTATTGTGACCAGGCGCGCTTCATCGCGCTGCATTGAATCATAGGATGTCATGTTCGTCGTGTCCCAGAGAATGCTACTTTGCAGCATGATGCAATGCGATCCGCGGCCATTGAGCTTCACGTCCGGCGAGGTTTGAACATAAGGATAGCCAACAATTTGCAAAGTAATGACAGGTCCAGGTTGTATTGGGCACTCGTGGTTTGCGCATGCTTCACTGCCATGTGTGGTCGGACGAGAGCAGTGTTGTTTTAGAATGGAGGGGCAATGATTCAATGTTACGGGTAGTATTGGGCATTGCTGACGGAAAGCGTGCTTGCTCGAGACGAAATACATTTTTTGCATTGATGGACACTGCGCGGCAAGATGTAACCAGAGCTGCGAGCTCCTTCAGCCCTCTGGCAAGTGTTTAGAAGACTCTCTGCAACCGGACGAATGAAACCACACTGCAAGCTGGACATCATTGGACTTCGCTTGTTTGCACTTTGCCGAGGCATCCCCAGTGAGCCACTTTCGGATGCAAGCCCGGAAGCTTCAACGACGGCCGTGTCACCTTGCCTTGACGTGAAGGCCCTACTCAGCTTAAATTGACCCAAAAATTTTTCCTTGGTCCGAAAGGTAACAGGTGGTTTATTTTAATCTATGTGATGGCCAAGCAAGCTGCAAGGATGCCTTCAGTCGCTGGGTGGAACATGAAACGGTTCGATGCGCTGGGAGCTTGCCGGGCCGCCTCGTCAATCTGCAGCTACTGTCTTGGCTTACGGCAGTTCAGGCCGACTTGGAAAGAAGAGCGGTCCCCATCTGGCGTAGCGGAAGTGCCTTCTCGCGTGCGTCCAGTTCCTGAATCATTCAACAATTGGCTGGTATATTCGGTGTCGTATCTTCTGTCAGACACAAATCCAATAAACACTTTAACCAAAAGACTGACGTGCAGGTGCTGCTGATGATGATGATGATGATATTGACGATGATGGAATGGGTTTTCAACAGTAGGATCTATAAATAATGTTTGGTTGGGGCATTGTATATGTCATCAGGATTTAGGACATGTAACAACCTAGCCAGGTAATGCTCGCCTGAGGCCTGGATAATTTGCAGAGGTTTGGGCTCGTGTGAGCAATACCGTTTACCCGCAACGCTCGCAGGCACATAATTTCAATGTACAGGCTAGCTTCAGGCGCTGTTTTCCACATTCAGGTGGAGTCTCAATGGATTCAAACACTCCATGTCGACAAGTTTTTTCAAAACAAACCCGCTTCGTCGAGCACAGTCTGCTCACACGACGCGGTTGCTGCAAACAATGTTATGCACTACAATGGCAAGGGAGCGCCGAAGACATAACCACTACACAGCAGCCAGGAACCACTATTCAGCAACATAGCAACACATCCACAGAGATCCAAAACACTCAATGCGCCACCGGGAAATGGGATTCTCTACACAGGAACATATCCAACATCAAGATGTCAAGGACCCTTTCGTGTTATGTGTCATGTTTTTGGAGTTTGGGTTTCGGGTATTATCTATCATGGACAACAGATGGTTGTCGAGAATGTCGTCAGCAACGAAAGGCATTTACAACAGAAATGCCACTACACCACTACAGCGCCCTACGCGGCGCAAGAAGAGTTCTGTCCTTCGAAGAATTTGAAGTTTTGTTTCTTCGGTGTTGGCCAGTCCGATCACGCCTCCAACCTGTGGAGGTGCTCAAGCACCGGCAGCCACAATCCAACCGGAGACTCACAAGGCAGGGGCAGTAACACGATTTCACGATGCGCTTGCAGCGAACCTTCACAGCCCCACCCCAATTTGTTGCAGGTTCTAGTTTGCCCAGGCTCCCCAGGCGAATGCCGTCGCATGCCCGTTTCGAAGGAGAGCAGCGAGGCATCAGCAGCGTCTGCCACGCGACGTGGTGGCAATGCCACCACTTTGCCGAGATCTGATCCGTGACTTGTCTTTAGCTGCACCTAAGATTGGAAAGGATCCTTTCGGGGAAGCAAGAGAGCTTCTGACAACACTTTCAACGTCGAGTCAGTTGAGGTGCATTTGTCGGAGACCAAAGCGGTGTGGGTGTGACTGCATCCGGCCTACGCCTGCGTGTGAACCACGTGCGTGTGCAGGAAATTTGGATGACAAGTGCCCATGCCAGCATTAGGAATGTAATGTAATATAACCACCCCGTCCGTACCCACACAGAACCGCGCACAAGCAATAAGTGCGTAGCATCAGCGTAGCATGCAGGAGCTTTTGAGTGAGGCAGGGAGAGGGAGGGTGCAGGTGTGTAGAAACCCTGAACGAAGAAAGCCCAAGCCCAGAAGCTGGACCAGAAACACCCACCCCCCAGGCCCAGAACCCTGAACCCAGACACCTAAACCCATAAGCTTTTTTCAGGCTCAGTCAGGGCGGCTGTGATAACAGCGGTCGTACCCGGGTGGGCTTTAAATTGTGCCTCTTGATGGGACAACGTACGACTCGGCCGGGTCAACGGTGGCTTTGGAGTTGTTGTACGAGGCGATCTGTCCTTTGGGCTTCGGGCAAGTCTCGGGTGTTACTGGTTGCTAATGTTTGGACAAAATCCAGCATTTTACAACGCGCGGCCTCAAGTTGAATTTGGCGTGGCAGCTCATATTGAGGGCTCATCTAGTCGCAAGATGTCGCAAGTGGGGGTTTCCCTAAAAAAAACCGTGCTTACGACGCCTTGGACTGGGCCATGAAACCCCCAAGCTGCGAGAGTTGTCACGGCACTGGTAGCAACCGAAGCAGCACCGCCCGCAGTGGTGGCACATGGTGGCACCAGTATGCCTACGGTTGCCAATCTTCTTCTTCGCCTTCCTGTTGATACTTGCATCACTGTTGTTGATTATTAGATTGCAGTACTGTCAATATTTAGTGCTGCTATTTTACTTCTTATTGTTATTAATTTCCTGGTAGGGCTTCGCGGTTCATGGGGCACGGATATGCTGAGCGTTGGTTGCCACCGGGTTTGCAGATGTGAGATTTGAGATCACCCTAGTCGTAGAGAGAGGGGGGGATCTTATTTCGTCTTCCAAGCCTGGGAGAAGAAGAGAGAGAGAGAATGAGAGAAAGAGAGAGCAGTTGGGTTCAGGGGGGTTTGACGGTCCAAGCCGGCGCCTGGTCTCAACAGAGGACGTTCTTTTTCACCAGAGACTTCCCAGTGCGCACATGTCCGCAAGGGGAGGGAGACCGACCCCTTGGCTGCGTGCAAGCAAGAGCAGTTGGGGCGAGACATGTTGGGTATTTTAACCTGTTTTGGATCTAGTTTGCTTTTGCCCTCGTGCTGACTGCCGGGGCCTCAGAGTTTCAAGTCAGCGAAATTTATACAACCAAGCAACTGAGGAGCAACACACATGGAAAAGGCAGTGCAAAGCTCAGCTGGCTTTTGCTAGTCTGCAAACATAAGATGCCAGCAGCTGCACACATGGGAAGGGCTGTAGGGATTTTCCCCAATCCTCAGCACGGGATGGGCGAGCCAGCGCACGACAACTGCCACGGGAGGAGCCTGGGTGGGTGGGGGGCCGTAAACGCTGTGAGGGACACGGAACTCAATGTGTCCAAAACAGAGCACCACCCGGGACAAAAGGAAGCAAACAAACTACGCGAGCGTGAAATGCTTGGCAGCAGCCTCCGCAGAGACGACGCGCAACCAAGCACAGGCAGCAGCAGCAGCAGCAGCAACGGCAATGGAAGCACGCAGCGCGGCCGGGGAGCCGACACAACCACTCAGAGAGGCCGGCGATGCACCTGCCACACCAACTCCGACAGTCACAGGGGACAGCCTTCCAGCTTTTCCACAGACCAGCCACTTGCAGCGGACGCCCCCGCACACCATCTACAACCACAGAGGGAAGCCCGGACCCCAACAACTACAGCCACCCTGACGCACACCCGCGATGCAAGAATGGGCTGATGCTCAACCCGATCTGGCGGAGTATGACGACTTGCCGCCGGATGTGCCTCTCTCTGGAGCCAGGCAGAGCACGATGACCCAGCTCAGTGCTGTTGGCAACTGGTGCACCAAAACATTGGTCATTTATCCGGCTGCACCACCAGTGTCGTCCTTCGAGCATCAATCGATGCTCTTAACAGTGAGGGACAAACTTCTATTTCACAATGTGGATGGTGAGTGGACAATCCGCATTCAGCGTCTAAGCCCGGAGTGCCCTGCTGACGTCCGGGCGATCCGCCAAGCCCCAGCACAAGCGAACCCAGCCCGACACTGCACCCCAAGCCCAACCACGCGGACCGTGATAGCAACCATTGCCAAGTATAGCCGAAGACAGCAGACCAGACCCTGCCAACACCAACAGCGGGGCAAGCTCCTCACACCAGGGACCCAGAAGCTACTACCCCGCACCTGCAAGACCACAGCACAAACCCGACCGACCTTCGGAGCAAGCGCACGACGCGGGACAGCCCCCAGCGCCAACGCGCCTTTTGTGGACGCGAGACCGCTGCGAGGGCTGCCACCAGGTACCAACTCGCAACCAGAACAACCACCACGACCGAAGCAAGCAGCTACACCTGTGGCAGCAGCCGTCGGGACGGCATACATCACTGGTTCAGACCCACACCTTCGCACGCAACAAGATGCCGGCCAGCACGCAGCCAGACGCATCAACACAAACAGCAGCTACAGCACTCTCCACGGGTGCAGCCACTGAGCCCGACAGTTGTGGCGAAGCACAACAGACACTACACCAGCAACCACGGTGCCACAGCCGCTGAAGAAAACTTACCCTCGTGGCAATGTGTCAAACAACACCTCGTTGCTATTCGGCGCATTTAAAAGCATGAGCGCTGCAACAGGTTCGGACCGCAACTTGTCTTCTCTGATTCTGCCGTGCTGTGGCGCTGTGGTGGTAGTAACATCCCTGAATGCGACCGCGACCTTGCGACCGTGGAGCGGTCAACGAAGCAGAATGGTCCCGGGATGATGTCTCGTATGTTATGCCTGGTGTTTATCTTGCTTTGGGGGACCATGATGCCATACAGTGCTGAATCATTCATTGTCGGGGGACTCAGGCTCTTTTATGTTGCATCTTGTCAGCCATATGGTACACCCGGCACATGTAGAATGTCCGAAAACACCTGGTTAATGTCCCTGATCCTATATAGGCCAATACACTCTGTCAGGGGAAGTCAACCATGGTTTCACGCTCCTTTTAAACCTCATAAACAGATGGGGCGCCCATGGAGCCGGGGGGGCTAAACCGCCCCTCATGCCCTGCTGCAGAAAAGTAACTGATACTCTTGCTTATTGTTTGTATACCAGGCTTACGGAGCCTCATATTACACTGCACACTCGACCTCTGCCTGCGTTTGCTGAGCCTCTGGATGCGATCAGGTTAGACGATGTTCTTCACGCGGTTGTTGTGTTTGAGGCATCACACCGGGGCGAAATTGAGCCAATGTTTGTGCTCAGCATATGTGACACAGGTCCTCAGTTACCGCCATCCCTTCCTCGAGCAAGCTGTTGCTGAAAGTCTCCGGGGCGCAACAGGGCGAACTCACAGCAAACCCTGGGGCACCACAACCACTACTGCTGTTTGTTGTGCTGTTGATTCCTGAGCCCTTGCGGAGTGTCGAGTTGTACTGTAGTCTATTGCATGCAATACATTGTAATACCATGCATACCTTCAACCAAACGGGCGTCTCCCACGGGGGCCGGCCCTAAAGCCCGGTGAAAGAAAGAGTTCTCCGCGCGCGCCAGAGGGGGGAGCTAAGTCGCGACCCCTTCTGGCCGTGCAGAAGAAGAGAGAGTGCAAGCTTGGTGTCTTCGTGTTGTTGTTGACAAACAAAGCCAGGTTGCCGTACAAACATGTCGTAAGAGCGAGACAGGGCAGAAGGCAAGTCCGGCGCAAAAGTGTCGAGCACGTAGCACACACCCACTGCAGCAAACCGGGGGAATCAAATTTCTCAGGTACTGCGCAGTTCTGCGGTTTAGAACTGTCCTTGTCCAACGCCCCCAGTGTCATCGTAGTCTATATTGTACGTAATACCATGCTTTCAGCCAACCGATGGGCGTCCCCAGCGGCCGCTCGCCCTCACGCCTGTTGAAAGAGAGACAGGGCAGAAGAAGAAAAGAGAAGAAACACAAAGCGCAGCTGAAGCGTTGTTGGAGGCGGCAGGAACACTCGGTTTGTTGAAGCTGACCCAGAAAAGTTCTGATTTGGCACCGAAAACTAATTTTTGGTAGAACCGGCGCCCTGCAGGAAGTACATTGCGAAACCCCTACGATGTACAGGGCCCCAGAATGCAAGTTAGGCAGGCTGAGTACTCTTCCTAAAGTTCAGCATAGCGCGGTCTGTCTGCAGGACATCAGCCAGGGCTTGTTCCACGAGTTCCAAAAAGCTGCCGACAAGGGCTTGACATCCTACTACCTCAACCAGAACATCAAGCTGATACCGCCTCTCGCTGCCATGGGGTATGCGAGCTTAACGACAATTTCTCGAGAATCGAGTCAGCCTTTGGCCATGCTCCACCTTGCCAGGTTCTGGAGACCATGGATGTTGGAACCGGATGGGCCTACTTGGATCCGGAACTGCTTGGAATCCAGAGGCTTCAAGACCGACATTTGCAAGGCTAGGTCGGGCCCCCCTGGCTAAAGAGCAGAAGGCATCGAATGAGGGGTCTCCTTGCTCCTTGCCCCTCGACAGGTCTACCACACTGCCTCTTGGCAATGCAGCGGGGGTGCGTTTTAGTTTCGTTTGCTTTCAGGGGCGTTGTATGACAGCCTCTGGACCATTGCGATTGATAAAAGACTAAGGCATATGCCGGCGTGCAGGGCTGCAGCTTTTTCGAGCTGAAGGTTTGCTGGTAGCTTTCAGAGCTGTGTGGGAGAAAGGACCTTTTGCCGAATGCTTTGACGTGGCAAGCGTTTCAGGAACCCATCCGTGAGTCAAAGTCTTTCAAGTTTCGTTGCTCAGCTCCAGGCCCTTCCACTGGGTGACGTGCAACTCTGGCAGCTGGCAGCAGGCACACTTGTAAAGGCCTGGCCCCTAACGTCATACGGAGACGTATATGAAGGATCGTGAAGGCAGAGTTTCACTTTGCGGCTGGTCAGCTCAGAGTGAGGTCAGGTGCTTTCTGTTTGCTAACATTGGTGGAACCGTTGTTTCTTGGCTAGGACGGCTCCTAGAAAAAATTGCGCACGTTTTGGCGGTATGAGCACAAGAACCACAACGTTTGCTGCATTTTACAGGAAGAGCTTCCGGAGCGCTCCACACCACAGGGTTTAGAGAAGCAGCTTCAAAATCTGGAACCAGAGAATGCTGCACGTCACAACAGTTGGAGCCAGAGAACAAGCAGAAATGCTGCAGCATGTGCAGCATGAACAGAGCATGAAAGTTGGCGACACGCATGCTGAGAAGTGACGCAGGGAGCTGTTTCTTGCCAACATGATGGGATTCGCTTATGAGGCCTGCGAAGCTGCAGGCGTCCTGGTTTCAAGTCGCTGTCCTTCGTTTTAGAAGCAGAGGTCTGGAGGCAAGCCGCATTTAGGTCTTCAGCATCATCTTCTTTAATTGCGTGAACGACCCGAGCATGTTAGAGGCGCGCGCTGGATCGACTGCATTGCATCAGATTGATCAGCTCGCAGATGGAAAGCCTGGAATTATCAGTAGATGCCGAGCATGGCAGAACAAAAGCAGCCTGCTGCTGGAGGTACTTCCTGGTTGGTTGAAAGCAGCACGCTTGTCTTTCGAATGGTGCGGCTGGCATGGTACGTCCCCACGGTGTGTTGGTACGTTTCAGCTTTCGCTTTCCCGAAATCCAGGCTGGACATGGATGAGGCAAGGCCGCTGCGCGCCTTACATGAGCATTTGGTTGCATCCCCAGCCGTCAACATGTGTTTAAGCACACATGCGGAAGCCCTTCGTTCCCGTCAGGCCAGCCTGCTCTCCTCGGTAGAGGCCTGCGGGAAACTAGATGTGCCAGACAACAAGCCAGTCACGTGATCGAGGCAATGCCGGACAGAGGTTGCGAGATCGCGCAGCAGCTGGCAAGGCTCGCCCAAGCCCTGTGATCCCTGTGTGCTGTAGCTGGGACTGCGGCAAGGATGCGCAGGGAGGTGTGGAAGCGGAAGGAAAGGTTATGCAGAAGCTTGCCTGACGGAGGTGGGTAAGATGCGATGCAGAATTGAAGCCGATTCTTCGCCCGATCCTGGACAGGCCGTGATCAAACCAAATGAAACCTTGCGCATGTCCATGCGAGCAGGCTTTTGCCAACAGCAAAAATGAATCCTACCTGCCCTCAGCTCGTGCCCCTGCTGGCCGGGTCCTGAGGTAGCGGAGAACTCGAATGTTTCGGCATTTGCAAGTTGCTGCAAGCTCTTGAGGCTGACTTGGCTGCTGACCGATGGCCAAGAGCATGTCTGAACGATCCGGAGGTGGACCTGACTCAGACAGATTCAGACAGCTGAGGAGACAGGCTGATAGGCCTTGATAGTGTCTTGACGCACAGCTCTTTGCATATTCGCCTTGTGGCATCCTGTGGCTGGGGTTTGCGTCGAGTCCAGGTGGTGGGCATGCTGGACGTGCTGTCTACTGCAGATGCGGCACTTCTGCAGCGAACTTAATTACGCCAACCCAACCGTCAGCCAGCACTATATTCGCATCCCTCGTGCCACTTTGCGACCTGTCCTCGTTCGTCCTTCTCGTCTTTTGCGTGATGGAAAGCCAGCATCACCGGCAATCCCTGCTGCCTTCTCAGTTACACCTGCTTATAGCAGTAGAGCCGTGGGCGGTCGAGGCTCCTGCGAAACATTGGCGAAGATGGAGATGCCAGCGACGCCGAAGCGGCCAACAACTTGGCACATACCGTGCTAAAATGTACACCGGCTTGCTTTGGCGGCGCGTGCGTTCGCACGTCGGAAGTTTCAGGAAGGTTGGTGCGAGAGAGGGAGGGTGTTTCCTGCAGAAAGGGAACGGGTCAAACTCATAACCGTCTGCTTCTTCTGGCATTAGCAGCTGGTGGTGCTCAAAGACTTGTACTGGACCCTGCTGCTGCCACTATGCCACTATGCTTCTGCTGCGACAGATCCGACAGTTGGCTCTCGTAGGGGGTGTGGCAGAAGACACTTCAGGTGTCAGGTCGTCTTTGTGGGGTGGGCGCTGCGAGGTGAGGAGGGTTGTACAGAAGCAAAGACAAGAGGTATCTTCCAATTTGCTTGCAGGCACAACAGCTCTGCGAAGTCTTTGGACGGCAGTCTTTCGGAATGACCCTCTGAAACGCACGAAACGCAACTCAGGAGACAATGTTTCGCAAGATTCCGCTATTTCTTTCATACACTTTTTCACTTCATGCCTGATGCTGAGTTGGCAAAGATGCAAGGCACTAGAATGCCCGACCTTGCTTTACTGCTGGTGAGGGGTGAGCAGTATAACAGCAAGCTAACAGCTAACATAATCCTCGAATCCTCGTCTGCTGTTGCTGTGCACCCCCAGGCCCTGGCCGTTTGGCAGAGCCTCGCTGGAACTGCGCTTTCCGGAACCGTCGAGTGGGAGGACCTAACTGCGGGTTTCCTGTTGCCGGAAGCAAAGTGCAGACGCTGAAGGCCTTCGAGCAAGATCGGAGCACTGACATCTTGGATTTGGAATCTGTGAGCTGGAGGGGGCGGGGGGTGGGCCTCCAAGAGGAAGGTGGTCAGCCACTGAGGTTGGGGACGGGGTTCGGGGGATGAAAGAGGCCCCCGGAGGGGAAAGAGCGAACCCGACCGCCCCGGCAGGGAGGACTTGGAAGGACTGTGCCATAATACTATGCTGCCGGAGAGGCACGATTACACACTGCTCTGAAGGCCATTGTTGCTGATAACGGGTTAGGCATCACAATGTGGACATGAACACCATCAGAAATGTCCGCATCATTACAATGTGCTTGTGCTTGGAGTCGGAAGGACGAGGCAGAGCTCGGAGCGGGCAGACATTCCGAGTGGTGGGTCGCTTGCCACAAGCCAGCAAACTCGGCTCGTTCCGGCCATCGTGCTGCTGCCCGGTTCACTGCAGGTGCCACGCCAGCAAGCCTGGCGCAGAGAGCGCACAGCGGCGGCAGTCACGCATCACTCTAAGAGTGGTGCTGAGGCTCCATCCTGCTCAGCCGAGGTCTTGAGTTGCCCTGTCTTTCCGGAGCTCTTTGCCCGCCTTGTGCCGGAGTTGCTCAGGACATCTCAGGCCGCTTTTGCTCCCGGTCCCAGAACCCTGAAGCCGGTCAGGATGCTGCAGTGCCCTTCAATTTGCGAGCACCCGAAGCTGGAGGCGTGCCAGCGAATACAGAAGCATGAATCTGTGGTATAGCGTCGCGTTTGCTCGAAGCCTGAAGCCGCACTACTCACAGGCGGTGATGCAAGTTCGCGCGGCCGCCGAAACGACGAGCCCTGACTGATGCACTACCAAGAACAATCGGTCGAAGCTGCGTGTAGATCTTTCATTTTGAGAGCATCCATTGCCCAGCCAGGTTCTTGATTTAAGACTGTGGGGTCAATTCAGGATTTCAGCCTGGGCAGCCTTGATGGGTGGACGCCTCAGTGAAAATGGGATAATTGTTACATGGTCGCTTCAGCTTGGTCCTCGCTGCGATCTGCAGGGCATCGGTGCACAGAAGTAGTGCGGTAGGGACTACGGTATCGGTTAACCGTTACGTGGGAAGATGTGCTCGGGAGTTACAAATGTTTTGCAGAAAGCTCTCAAAAGCTTCGAGTGCCCAGGAGACTCGGCAGTTTGGGCCGAGGCCACTTGGGAACCGTTGAGTCCTCGTCGGCGGAGTGTCGGCACTACCGTTCGGAACTGATGCCACGACTAAGGCTCAAGAGCATGACGCAGCGACTGGCGACACAAGGCGGTCACCCCAGAATGCCGACCTGGCATGCACAGGCGAGGATTCTTCTGCCTCTTCCGGTTGCTGCCTTCGCCAATTCATTCTTACATTCCGACTCCTGTTGGTCTCAACATGATTTTTACTTCGATTTGGCAAAATTGCACAACGGTTTTTCATAGTCCAAGGTCCAAGCGAGTCTTTAGCCAAGGAAGCTGAAGTCACGTCGGCCCTTGCATGTCCTCAGATTCTGTCACGCGTTGCCTGCCTGTCTTCACGGCGGCCCGGCCAGGCTTTGGTTCTCGTACACATTGGCTGCCAGTTGGCAAGAGCGGACGCCGGCAGCTGCTGCTGCAAACCCCCCAAGATGCAGGGAAGCTGCTTTCTGTCTGCCTGGCCTGCCCAACCGATATGACTAGGTCTTGGACATTGGTGACCGCTTGGACAATTTTCCGGCCCCGTGGCGATCACTGTTGTGGATGCAGGCCAAGAAATGCCCGAACTCGCTGCAGCAAGTGCTGTGGGCTGTGGCATCTACAACATTCAGGATTCAGGTGCTTTGCCTCGGTGTCGTTGCAGATGCCGCTTCGCTGGCTTCAGCGAAGCATGATAGATATGATAGGTGCAGTACTGGTGAACCTGAAGTCACCCTTTCGCATTGGCTGCTTGTCAGTGTGAGTGCAAGCAATCTGCAAACCTTTGGGGATTCGGTATGGCGGTAAAGGGCCAAAGACTCCGAAATTGGGCAACCGCAGTCGCCGAAGCGACTTTGTTCACGAGGTGCGATCTCACAAGGCAGAAGCTGGCAAAACAGCAACTCAGAAGGTCTTTGACAAGAAGTCGCGAAGTCTCTGTCTCTAAGCAAATGGTGTATGCAGGATTTTTTCGCCCTGCAGAGTAGGAATGACATGCAATGATGAGCCTATGGACAGCACCAGATTCCAGAATTTCGAGGTCGGGCTTCCCAGGGGCTCATCATGGCATTCGGGATCGCTGGGGTGGTGAGAGGCTCTCCACCAGGACCAGGACAAGCTGGCAGTGCTGGTTCTCGGTGGCTCGAAGTTCATGGGGAAGGCGTTGATGTTTTTTTCAGTTGGCGCCACACTGCAGAACATGACATCCTGAGATTCTGCGAAGGCGTTTGTGGAGATGATTCTGGACCGTGCCCGCCACACGTCTCAGACTGACACGAGGCAGGACCTCAACGAAAAGCAGTTGGCATTTCGATCCAAGGAGTTTGTGTCGTCAATCGTGGGAAGACGTATTGGGCAGCTCCAGATCCCTTTGCACCTTGTCGCAGCCAGAAATTTCAAGAGCAGCTTGGAACCACCACAGCAGATCCAGGCTGGCAAAGCTGCTCGAGTTCTCTCAGACAGAGACAAAGGCGACTCCTTCGCAGCACACCTGCGCGAAGCCACTCGACGTTTAGGCCACCGGAGGGGTCCTTGGTAGGGTTGGCCCAGGTCCCCTGGTCCTCTTCCAAAATAGCTTGGGGCAAAATAGGTCCCTGCCAATTCTAATTCACCATATCCCAAAACTCACCAATAGCTTGACGCAAAGCAAGACCCTGCAAATTATCATTTCCCAGTAGCCTGACGCAAGACAAAGCCTCGAAATTGTAATCCCCCAATAGCTTGGGCAAAATAGGACCCTGCGCATTGTAATTCCCTGTAGCATGGTGCAAAACAGGAGCAGATGTTGCAGTGTACAGTATTCGCAACCCAAAAGGCGAGCCAACGTTAGGAACGGACACCGGGGACCGCCAGCGGTAGCAAAACCAAAATTCCTGTTCAGTCACTGTGAACCTTGCAGACCAAGTCAGCCAACAGTCCGGCACTGCACGGGCAGCAGCACGGCTTGATCGTTCGGGCATGCTTCAGGGAGCTTGCCACAAGCTTGTCTGTAGATGGAATGTGCTGCAATCAGGCACAGAATGGGACTGCGTTGTGGACTTCTCCGGCTTCTGTGGAGTCTGGGAGTGCACAGCTTCATAGGCATGGGTTGTGTCTCTGAATGTCTCTGATCTTACCTTAAGCAAGCAACCAGCGCCTACGATTGCGAGCCTTGTCTCGCCGAATTTCGGAGGTTATATCTCAGCAGAAAGCACAAGATACAAAAGCCGAAAAGCCAATGACTTTCTGATTTGTTCATCTTATCACGTTTGCGGAGAAAGTCGGCTGTTTTTGCTCAACGATCTTTGGTTGAAAAACCTATGAGCTTTGCTCAGTTCCGGCACGAATGGCAACAATGGTCCACAATGAAGCGCGGGGGCAGAATAAGATGGGAGCAGTTGAGACATTCATACTTTCTCGCTGCTTCTGGTTTCTGGGAGGTCTTCCGTTTCAACACACATGTCGCCAAAGCCTATGAGCTCACACTGTTGATTTGCGTTGTTTTGTCTCTGCTCCTATATGTCTGTCCAGCACGCCCATGAACTCTCGGACGGTTTCCATGTCATTCTTCATGTTCAGGAAGCATTTTTTTGCTGGTGTGTGTGTGTGTGTGTCTCTGCCGGGATTGAAGGACAAAAGATCCAGTTCGTGGTGCTTGCATATGTCGTAAGGTAGGTAAGTAGAAGAGTCCAAGAGAGAAGAATCACGAAGATGCAGAGCAAATAAGTGCGACAGACACTCGCCCAAGGAGGTGATGTACATGCCTCGCTCCAGGGGTTGGATGGTGTTCCGAACTTAACAATCACTATATTGACTGCTGTGCTTGCCAGATTGCCAGATGTCTTGACATCCAGCACCAGAGGCATTCAAACTATACATCTACATCTCTTCCGATTCAGTATACGAGGCCAGCAGCGGTGCTTTCGATTTGGGCAATGCACGTGTGCAGACATCATCAGTTTCTGAGTGGCCACAAATTCTGCCAGCACTCATTTCATCTGCCAGCACTCATTTCAGTTCCAAGCCGCGTATACGAAGGACACACCACAGAATCGCGTGGCAGGTTAGCACCTGGGCATACGAGAAATGGAAGCCGAGGTCTGCCTGGCGAAGTTTGGTTTTGGTTTGCATTCCGTGGCTTGATGCTCGCCCTTCCCAGGAAGCGCTTGGACGGTCGCTCGGGCTATGAAACGCACGTTTCAGAAGGCCTGGCAGTTCGACCTGCTACCAAGGACTCTTGCGGCAAAAACGGGGAGCTAAAATGGAACTCCTGGCTCAAACTCCGCTGTGGCTTGTGTCAAATCTTTCCTGTGGTCCGTGCCGGCTTGCTTGATAATTAGTGTCGGTGGCTCTTGCAGGGTTGTATTGTAGGCGTTGTCACGTCCGGCACACAAACCGTTTTCGAACTGCAACTCCTTGCTTGACATCGGCACGCCGTCTAAGCCAGAAGTGATCATTCCGACATTGCCACACTTGCAGGAGCAGCAGGAGATTGTGAACAACAATGATGGCTACGGGAACGAAAAACTGCAAGGAGAAGAAGTTCTTCTGAAGGAGCTCTGGGGCAGCGGACAGTGCACTGAGCTGTTGGTATTTCGAGCTTCTGAGACTCTGTTTTGCAGGAGCTGCCGGCTGGTCGCAAATGCTTTATTCTTCGGCTGCCTGATGTCATCGGTCCCTGCGACTCCACGCAACTCGGCGAGAGAAATGCGACAGGGGCACATTTGTTCTGGTTGTGCGGCCTGTCAATCTGAGTCCGAGGCATCGGCTCTGGGCATACTGGCATTGGCTGCGTGCTGGTGAACTTGGCGCGCCTCCACCGCAGGTTCAAAGCTACAAGCGCAAAAGGCTTGGCAGCGAAACACGCTCCAGCATGCCAAGCCAGGACGGCACTGCTGCAGTCAACTGGTAGTCGAGCTTTGCAGGAACAGCTGGGATGCGAACGGAGACGAGATCGCACAGGCTGGGCCTGTAAGCATTGGATGATATTCGACATGCATGGATGCGGATGGTGACACCTCATATCCTTCCGTAGGCTCCCGGCGATGCAAAGCTGGCCCTTGTATACAGCTTGGATGTTGCAAAGCCACTCGGCAGACTGCGAGGCCTTTGTGCGAGAGCGTGAACCGAGAAGCAGGCTTGCAACGGCAGCTTTATTGAGGTTTCTGCTGCGCTTGGCTACAGATCAACCCACCAAAGACGTGGACATCGTAAACTTGTGCTGCATGGCCCTCGGCCTTCAGTTCGAGGTTCTGCGCATTTCTCCGGGTCTCGGCATGTACGTTCTGAATTCTCGCATGGCTCAGTACTGTCATTCCAAATTCCAAAACAAGTTGACCCATGATTGCCTCGGCAGCCCAATCCAGCCCGATTTGTAGGGCAGATAGCGGGGTTTGCTGGCATTTGCCGCCTGGTTTTCGTTTGGAGGTTTCTTGCACAGTGAGTTCGCATGATTGCCCTTATTTAGGACCTCTGCCGCGTCGAGATCGGACTTAACGGGTATCCTCCCTGCGTGAATTGAGAAGTGTCGTCGGAGTTCTCTGCGGCTGTGAACCAAGCCAGTGCCACGATCGCGGGTGTGCTTGAGTCGTTTCGGTAGCAAGTGGCAAGCTGCTGGCCTCCGAGATCAACTTAAGTAACGTGAATCATTGCAATCTGATCTAGAGAGCAAGCATTTCATCAATTTTCAGATTGAATGCAGGTATTGAATGATCGCGCAGCCTTGTCCTAGCAAAACTCGAAAATCGGGAGCAGCAGTGAAGTGTCGGAACAGGGTGCAACAGCAAGGCGCAGGCAAAGGAATGTTCTGCGCGAGAGATTTGCCGCCGCGCATCGCAAGCGCTGAGGTGAAGAGCAGCTTCAACTCAGCGAGTTTCTGGAAAGATTATTCGCCGCTTCTGGGGGCAACCGCAAGCGGCCGCGGCTTGCCCCAGACAGGAATCCGTACCCTGGCAGACACGAGCTAGCTTCCTGCATCGCAGTGACGGAGCTGGGCTACATGTTTGCTGCACCTAATTAATATGGCTTTGCAGTTGGGTGTCACGTCGTGGTGTCCAAAATGCGCACGTAAGGAAGGTGTATCTTCCCAGCGTCGATAGACTCTGGCCCCTCAGTTGTGAACGGGCTCGAGAGGCGCATTGTGCAAGAAATGCCCACGACTCGATTGCAGAGCATTCCTTTAGCCGCCTCGACTTATGCATGCGTTACAACGACCCGGCTTTGAGTTATTGAGCCTGCAGTTTGCAGGTGTATGGTTTCCGGCCGACACCTTTGCAGGAAGTCCTCACGCGATGTGTCGAGTTCTTCGAGACAGGTTGCGCCCCTCGACCTCAAAAGCACCAAAGTCGTTGAAGACTGTACTTGCAGAGAATGTCGGCAGCAATCATGACGTAACCCGGGCTCTTGCAGCTGCAAGGTGAAGTTCCCCGAGGAAGCAAGAAAAGCAGCAGCGAAGCTACCATCAGAACCAGCCGCCACAGCTGTTAAGATTTTGGGTTACACGAGCAATCTGTAAGAAAGTCCGGAATCCAGAACATGCCTGGGACACGATGCGTTGCAATGCGGCAAAAGAAGGGCAGCGTTTTGTGCACCAGCGTTCTTCCCTTCAGGCAAACAGTCGAAACATTCTAACGACGGTGATTTCTTTCGCTTGTGGAGGCCTCCTGCTTGGCTTCGACCGGTCCCTCCGAGCTGAGCACAAGGCCTTGGATGGCAGTGTGCAGCTTCAGGCGTGGACCTTCGGATCATGCAGCAGGCTGCTCGAATGGATGCTTCAACGGCCACCCCAGCTTGCCGGTGCTCCTGCTTCTCAGCTTCAGAAGCGATGGCACCAGTTTAAGATGGTGTCAATGGTGTCTTGTTTCTTGCCCTCGTTGGCTAGGTTCTATTGAGCATGACGGAACTGCCCTATGCGCTCGGCTGCTCAGGTGTTCAACAGTCCGTAGGTTGTAGCAACCTCGAATCTCGCTGAGGTCGAGTCTCGAAATGGCGTGCCGACAGCTGCCCGCAACATCCGCCTTCGGCACTGCAGCAGAGCGGCTGCTGCGATTGGCCCTGATCGAGGCCCTCGCTGCCAATAGCTTTCACCAGTGTCTTGGCTTGCCTTGCCTGAGCTGCTTTTTCTTGGATTCAGGTCCCCGTGAACCAACTTCATCCGCAAAGCGTGGAAGCCAAAGTTGAAGCCTCAAGAGCAAAAACCCGACATCACATCAACAGTGACAACTCAATCGTGGCAGTGGCACGCGATCTCTAGTTTGGACATGTTTCGGCTGATAGCCAGAGGCTCGGCTACTGCAAGCGATGGCCCATGCGGGGTGCTGTGTATGATTTTTACATTTGTTCTCAGGTAGCCTGTTCTCTTACAGGTCATGGGCGGCGATGCTGCTCAGCTTTGCAGAGCGCTGCGGCAGCAGATCCTGTGTCGCTCTGAGCTTCTAATAGCTTGATGGCGCGGAGTCTTCAAGTTTCACGACCAGCGGAGCCTCCATTGTCAGGCCTTCCCTGTGTACAGCTGCCCAGGCTTGCCGAAAAATCTTTGCTTGTCGCTGTTATGTACTATGTTTCCGTAGCAAGAGAAGTGCATGTGGCAGAGTGGCCTGGAATGGGCCTAACTTCGTCTTCGCCTTGCTTCGGCGACCGCTACTACCGCCTCAGCAAGAAGAGCAGTCAGTAGCAACAAGCAGAAGCCGCACCAGCAGCAACAACAACAAGAACAAAGAACGGCAACCACGGCCACTCCGGTGCGAGCTACATGTATGGCATGTATGGCATCAGCAGCTGCAAGAAGCACAACAGCGAAAATCAAGAGGAACAGGGCACCCGCCGCCGCCGCCGCCGCCCCGCCACCCCCACCGCCAATTCACCGCTGCCAGCCTCAACACCACCGCCACCGCCGCCACCACCACCACCAGCAGCATCACCACCAGCATCACCACCACCACCATGCGAACGCGACCCCGACCGCCACTGAAACACCCGACCACCACGGAAGCACCACCAGCACAGACACAGCAATAACAACTACCCACATCCTGAACTAGTAAAACTGGCGCAAAGTAGCATGTATAGTCTTCGGCCCCACCCATCATCATGCAATTGCAGTTGGCTTCAAGTATTACAAAATGACACATTGCACCAGGTGCAGGAAAACTTGTTCTTCATGCTGCCAGCTTAGCATGCATCTGGCAGATGTTGGCAGGCCGGCCGCCTGTGTGCTACCCGGCCCCTATCCTTCCTTCGAGGCGCATGGTGATCGCAATTCTGCATGCCGTCCTTCCGCGGACGCATGGCAAGGATCTGAGCAGAACGCACAGTACATGGCACTTGTCGACGCTGGTTGCACGGCGACTTGCGAACAGGTGATGCACATCCTGCTGTCTCCCTGTGGCGGGACTACTGGGATGCCATGGCCTTCTAGTCCTGTTGAGATGATGTGGGGCCATTGAGTGATATGAGCCGGCTCACGTCACAGCACACCAAACCAGTACCATACCGTAACAAACCCGGTTCCTAGCCCACCATGCCCGAACGGTACGTACAACACACCGTCCAATCGAAGAAAGCATTGAATCTTTGCCGTTCCCTGGGGGCTTCTGTGGCACTTTTCAGCTAGACAGACGGTTGAAGCATTTCTCGGGCCAGCTGATACCAACTAAAGCTTGCTTTTGCTGTATAGATGATCAATGACCCATGCCTGGCATGCCGCGACCCAAAGTTGGTGCGCCGCCGCCACCGCCTGCCACAGCCAAGCCGAAGGCAGACTGCAGCTTCTGGATTTGGTGGCTTTTTCTCACAGTCTTGAAGAGGCCATCAAGTGGTCCGAGAAGCAGAAGGCAGATCCAGAATGATCAACGAAACGACCCAGCATTGATGAGATTGCAAGTTTTGGTACTCCTTTGCACTAAGTACAGTCGTACAGAGTTACGGATGGGCATCGGGGCAGACGTTAAAGCTGTCAGGCCTCGCAGCGCCTGCAGAGGCTTCTGAGTTTTCAAATAGTTGAGAAGCAGCTTGGACTGCAACTTCTGTTCCCTGCATGTCCTGTCCCTGCATGTTGGCAAGGCTGACGTAAGGCCTGGTAGAGATTTCTGCGCACGGCAGGTGGCGAGACGATGCAATCAGCACGTCCACTCCAGAATTGGACTGGAGCGCCGTCGACTGCATCGTCTATGTCGCTGGAGGCACAACTTCTTTGAGTCAGCACACCGCGGGAGTGTTAAAACACAGAAGTAACTCTACAGCTGAGCAGCATGCTCTCATTCTGAACTTGCCTCATATTACCTGGAGGCAGTGGTGGTGTTTTGCTTGCACGATTCCATGGGGCCCCGCCCCGGCTGTGCTGCCTGAAACCGCAGCGAATGGATGCTCATGCTGAGCTGTTCCTTGGGCGGCAGTTTAGCGTTTGGCTACGAACCGAAGGGCTTGCTTGCGAAGTAAGTGCATGTTCCCGAACGTTGAAAGGTGTGCCAGCGTCCTGGCCGATGCTCTGCAAGTGCGGACTGCCTCGCTACAGGTCGTACAGATTTCAGCTGACATAGCCAAAGCATTAAGTGTTCCGGTCGCAAAGTATCCCGATTCCGTTCCCGAACATCTTTGACCTGTCTCAACGACGCCAGACGTAAGCCAACATCGGACATGTCGTCCGACTTGCACCAAGGAGAAGCTCGCTTAGCAATTGATGACCATGCTGTTTACCGGGCAGCTTGCTTGGGCAGTTTGAGCGAGCGTGCAGTCGGGCTTTGTGATGTTGCGATGGCGTGAACAAAGCTGCATGATTCCCCATCCGTGCAGCTGAACAAAGGACCGGCTGTTGGCTGATGCTAGGTACTTGGGTATCCTGGAGTTTGTCAACGGTCCCATGATGGAGGGTGAGGAGAGACTGAATACGTAAGAGGCGCTGGCTCTTATCAGGAACCGTCTAGCAACCCACAATAGCAGGCAGTCTTTGCACGCCATTTCAGATGTGTCACACATTGCTCCTGCATGCTTCACTGACCTGCTTGTTTCCATTGGCATGCAAAGCGAAGGAGTTCGTGAAGATATTCGAGGAGGGATCTGGAGCATTGTTTCGCTTTTGGACTGAAGCCGGCATCCTAATCGCGTTTCCAGGCTGTGTTAGGTCCCCTGCTGCTGCCTTCAGCTGCTGCTGCTGCAGGTCCTTCTGCAGGCTTTATGCATGTAGCAGACATCAGCAGACAACTGCATTCAACGTGCCGGACACCAGAGTGCAAGACGATGTAGTAGTAATGTAGCAGCCAGAGAGTTGGAACATCATGATCCTGATGCCTTGAACGTAAAGTATAAGGCATCCTAGCATGCTTCTTTCTTGCCCTAATCTACGTTCTAACTTTCCTGGAGTTCACTGCAAGTCTAAAGCTGAACACATATTCCAGGTTCGATTGCTTGATCAATAATTTGGACCGGCTACCCATCATCTGGGACAACAGTGGAAACCTTAAGCTTCATGGCTGCATGTTCCCGCATGCTGCCAAGGCAATGTGAGAATTGGGCCAACGATCGGAAACTGCATGATGAATGGCCCAGAAATGCCCAGAACCCGGTTGACCGAGGAACCTCATGGTGGAGATGTGCTCTGCCACGGGGCCGCGGGTGGTGGGCATTGACCAAGCGGCTCCCTGGAGAGATTGCCAGAGTTTGTCGTGACGCGTTGGTAGCGCGGCCGATTTGAAGTGAAAACACCCGCTTTTTTGTCTTGCTTGCAGCTGCAGGTTCGTGGCATCAGCGCAGCAAGTGGGCTGGAACGGTATGTGGAGCAGCTGCGATGCCTGCTGAGGGTTGTCCTGGCTTCTGAGACCGAATGGCTCGAGAGTCCGTGTCTACTTCGAGTACAGACTGCCATACAGGCCAATCTGCAGCAGCATCAGTGTCGTCTTTGAAACCGGATCTCTTACACACGATCAGGGCACCTGCTCCGCAGGCCAATTTCCAGAACAAGTTTCAAGTCCATGCCAGCGCCTTGAAGATGGGCCTGCAGCAGGTCATCGGCCCTCGCTTTTTCTGCTATCAGCCGACTTCCCCGCCTGCAAAATGTTGAACATTGTTGAACGAAGACAAACATTCCCTTGCATCCGACATTAAGTGTCTCAGGTTTCACACTCTCGCCATGCATCGTTTGCTCGAGCAAAGAGACGCTTGGATTTTGATTGTCATCCTGTGACCTGAGCAGGCCTTCCGCAGGTTTGCTTGGTCCTGGTGCAGCAGATCTCTTCAGAGATCTTTGGATGAAGCCATGAACAAGGCTTGCGATGTAACGGAGCACGGTGGAATGGAGTGTCGCAAACCTGCTGCAGTTTCTTAGGCTGTTGACTAGTTGGGTTGTTACTGGGAGAAGGTGATGGCAACCTTCGGATGCGGTGCAGAGCAGCTGTTGCCATTGCGGCGAACGGTCGAAGTCGCGGCTGCCACAGTTGCTGCGCCTCGCTGTTCATCCTGCGCTGCAATGCCGTTGTCCAGTGTGTGTCGAGCTGCGCAGATCTTGGAGCCCAGGATGAAGTCCACAAGGCGCAGCTTAGCATCATACCACGTCCCATCCTGGAAGTCTTTCGAGTCGTGTCTGAATTGTTACGGCTTGCAAGGGACGTGAGAGTTCAATGCGGCAGTGGCAAAGACCGGGCTTGAAACCAGGAAGGTGCATACCTTCGGGGCAGCTGCCGCGAGACCAGATGGTAAGTCTCCTTCGCGATTTGGACCCAAGTCTGGAGATGAGGGAAGTGCAAAAGTTCATGGTGGACTCCTTCTCGGATCCTGCCTGTGTCGATTGCCCCAGTCTTAGCTAGGGCCAGGGTTCACTCCAGCGCGGTGCGGCCCAGATCTTCAAAACCCAGGTACCGACTTCCTGCTCCTTCTCTGGTCAAGCCAGCGAACCAAGTGAGAGCTTGCTGGACCTTGCAAGCTCTTTGGGACGCCGATCTGTCTGTCGACTGAATCTGGCGCCCACATGGCCAAACCTGGCAATCAGCAGCAAAAGCGCGTGCTAGCTGTAGCATGCCACGTGGTGTATCTTGTCCCACTATGTAGTACAGTAATTAGCTGTCGACATGCAGCGCATTGCGAAGCAATGGCTTGGTGACGGCATGCTGTGAGTCTGACTCTGGCGATTCTGCAAAACCCAGAAGCTGAAAACATTCGCAAACAACAGCTGGCTGATGGTCGGCTCCGGCTGGCCATCTGCGCAGCTATGTAGCCTGCAGCGGCACTGGCTTTGCCTGCGCATGCGCGATGTGCTGAGAAGCATTGTCGGCGGTATGCTCATTGGTGCCAGGAAAATGCGCTTCTTCATCGGCCCTGCTGTATCGCAGTGAGCCCATCCTGACCTTCTCATCGTGGCAGGGTCCTGCGAACCGGGATAAACCCAGGAATCTGATGGACGGGAGCAGCCGCTCGATGCCGCAGCCGAGGCAATCCATTTTGCATGGTTGTGTAACCGTTTTCGAGGCCTCCATCTGATGTGCATGAGGGGATGATGGGCCTTTATGAGGAACGAAGACGAATGCGCAGCCATTGGCTGGCACGGAAACACGGAGCTTCTTGAAGAGGGCTCCAATGCTGTAAAGGCCCAAATGTCAACATTGAGTCCGAGTTGTGAGTGCTGACATGTCAACATCCGAGCAAAGTGTCCCCAACAAGAACTCCAAGGTTTTGGGGAGCAGGCTTCTGGGACCAGCCTCGACTTGCTATAAAACCTTCCTTTTTAATCAAAGGGGAAAAGGAGGGACCCTTAACAAGGACACCTCCTTCAGATGCTCGCCCACACGATGATATCGTGCCTGACCCACCAATCTGGCACGCCGTGGGACCTGAAATGCCGGCAAGAACGTGTGTGCGAGTCGCACTTCGCACGGGTGAAACGCCCATTCCAGGGCACTCCTTGTATAAGGGATGCCCTGTATGGGACTTTCTTGGAGCACTTAAAGGTGTACCGACATTCCCTGAGTGCCAAATGGGCCACCCCGAAACCGGTGAAGGGCATCAACATGGACGAAGCCGTGGACCTCGCCAATCATGCGATGCAGAATGCCGTGTTCTGGATGAGTTTCCTGAGCAAATCCAGATCAGCGAAGCTCGTGCGATCTGACCTCGACCATTGGTGGGAAACACAGGGCAGACAGCTGGTCGCCGGCAGCGCCGACTCCTCTGAGCCAGAGCCGGAGCTCGACGACGACGAAGGTTTCCTCGACAGCTATGCTGAGAACTTGGACGAGGAGGAGGAGGAGGTGGAGAACGATGAGGAGTACGCCCAGCAGGAAGCAGATGCAGCCGATCTGTTGCAGGCATGCGATGCTCACATGGAAGTGAAGAAGCAGATCAGCGAGCTGCAATCCGAGCTCTCATCTGATGCAGCCGGGGCTTCCAGTGGAAAGCCGAGCGAGGACCTTGCCGTCTCCATGGCGGACACGGACTCCATCGAGGACTTGAGTGTGACGGACTTCTTCATGAAGATCCGGCAGCTCCCAGCCCTGCAGGCCGAGCTCAGCGAAGACAACCTCGTGGCCAACCTTCAGCGCCGCATGGAGGAGGCTCGTCCTTTGTTGGACTCCTGGTGCAAGCGAGTCCGTCTTCAGGAGAAGGAGCTCAGCCCTGCCACCGTGGAGCAAAAGGTTGTTCGAGGAGACAACGAGTGGAACCGTGTGCAACACGAGCTCAGCCTAGCGAGGCAGGCGTCCATGTTGTCCAGTGGCCAAAGAACGAGTCGCTTGGCTGTGTGGGCTGAGAAGCAGCAGGACATCGCCGAGAAGTTCCATGGAGAGCAGCCATCCGGAGTGGCACCGGTTCGGTACTTGGGGGCCCAGGGCGGCCGGCGACAGGTGGTGCTCTACGTGTGCGATGGCTCCATCTATCACGGGCTGCTGCTGACAGTGTGGCGAGGTGCTGTCTTGAAGGATGGCACAAGGCGGCTCCGAACACGTCGCCCGGCAGCGGCACTGCTGCCTCTAGCACACTGCGGGCAAGTGCGGCTCTTGCAACTGGTGGAGGCAACGCCCGCTTCCTGGCTGGCTACTTCTCTGTGCCCCTGCCACCTCATGGATCCATTGGATGTCGTGGCATTGTTCAACCCCGACGAGGTCGTGGAGGGCCCCAACCGATGCATCCTCCGATATTCCGATGAGGCAGGGCAGTTTTGGAGGCAACCAGTTTTGTGAGGTTTTCTGCTTACCCTCCAAACCATCCCTGTCAGTCCATGAAGAGCCTGAAGAAGTTCTTGGCGGAGGAATCCTGGAAAAAGGGATCGGATGCCAAGACCCAGGCCTGCAATAACAGGATAAAGAAAGCCCTAAAACCCTGGGTGCACCTGCCAAGCCGTATCCCTGAAGCTCCCTGTCAGATCGTTGCATTGCCGAGCTCCGCGGTTGAGGGCTGGAACCATCGGCAGTTTACGCCCGCCTTGGCGGCGAAGAACGTCAACTTGTTTTTGAGCAGGCTTCCGCACATGTACAGTCAAGTGTCGTCGCCCCTGGTCGATTCAGACGGTCAGTTCGCGATGAGTGCGAAGCGCAAGATCAAGTGGTCTGAGGTGGTGTGCCGTGCCATCATGTACTTTGATACCCGCCTCACAGGGCAGAGCTCGCAGATGTACAGCTCCAGCGTTTTCTCTGCTTTGGCCGAGCTGCACCCCAGCAGGTCGAACGGCCTGCTTGCAGTCAAGAAGTTCGTCCAGAACGTGGACTCCATAGCCCCGCCGTGGCTGGCGATAACCTAGGGTCGTGATGGCTCGTGTTTGCAGTGTCAGCTGCGAGTTGAAACACTTTACAATGACTCAGTCTAGGCATGTTCGGAGCCAGCCACACGGGAGCACACGAACTTTAAGCGACCCCGAAACTTAAACCCAAAACTCACCAAGCTGTTGAAAGGAGTCCCGTTCGAAGGCCGTAGTGCTTCTTGAAGAGACTCGACGACTGTTGCAAGAGTCCGTTGCGAAAAAAGAGACAGTGCGCACATGGTCGTTTGCTGAGCTGAAGCCTTTTGAGCTACATGCATATATATATATATATATATATATATATATATAGATCGAGAAGCCAACACCCTTTTTTACAATTAGCTTGTTCGTAGCCTGAAGGGAGCCGAAACTGTAATATACAATTCTGGCCCCCCCCCAGCTGAAGACGGTGGGGATATGTCAACACAGAAGTAACCGTGGGCCATCTGGAGCTGAGTCCTGACACTGCTGTCTTGGCAATATGCTGAGGGCAAGAAACGGACAGTCGCAGGGCCTGCATCAAGAAAACAATGACGATTGTTGAACGGCGACGGGCTTTCAGCACGGGAAGCGATGCAAAGGAAGTACCTGCGAGATTGCTGTGCAGAGAGCTTGCATGCGGAATGCATAAAATCAGATAGCAATCACATGCAAAATAGCGCCTTTGTCCGTGCATGTCCGTGTCGTCCTTGTTGTTGTTGGCGCTGGAGGCATTGGCGGCTGTCTGGGCCTCGGTTCGTGACCGACGCTATCGTGATGGATACATGCGACATCTTTCAATGAAGCGACCCTGCGTCCGAGACCAACAGCACGTAGATATGCACGGAATTGCCGATGTTGCAGGCCTGCGCCGTTCCTGAGCTTTTCCAAGAGGCCATGGTATCCGAGTCATAATTGTGTATGTGTGATTGTACCGCGACAACGACAGGCTATTCAGCTGCTCGCCATGGGTGCCGCTCGACGCCGCAAATCCGGATCGGAGGCGCAAGTGGACACAGTAGGGGTTTGGAGTAGGTGGGTTGTATCAGACCGCGTAGGAGAATACGATTGGTGGCCGGTTCTTCCATGTTCCGCACATATTCGTCTAGAGGGTCCAACTGGATTAGGACGCCCACCCCGTGTGGCGGCATACAGTGTCTGGCTTCTCTTTGTCAGATCTGCCTCGCTGCTCTGGAATCCGTGATGCAGCACCTGCCGCCCACTCAGCTGCACGCTGCTTGCGCGAGGCTCGTACTTGGCCAAGCGCCCCCTGACTGCGTACATTTTAGTCCCAGAACCTGTCAGATCACTCATTGCAAACGCCTGGCACACTGCGACGTTACGATCCAGGATTCGCAAAGCATCGCAACGCATGTTCTCACTGCAAGGCCGAGCCCTCCGCTTGAGCCGGCCTTGACGGCACGAGCCGTTTCAGCTGCAGTGCGCCAAGCGACAGAGGTGCCAGGAAGAACCGCAAGAAACAGCACAGGTCTGGAGTTTCTTCGCATTTCTCATGTGCCACCAGCTATCTTGTCCCTGCCGTGAAGTGTCACGCGGTGCTTTCCACACGCTCGGGAGGCGGTTCTGAGTCATCCAGACAGCCTTCAGAACCCGGCAGTGTTGAAGGCGATGTGTGGTGCTGCTTGAGCATGCACTCCTTGACGGACATGGCCGAGAAACCTTGAGATTGCTGCTGACGAGTGCTAATGTGTCAACTTGACAGCAGGTAGAGAACTTTTTGGCATGTCATTTCCTCGCTCAGTATAAGGTTTTTGGCACAATGCCATATCATGCCATATCCCAAGGCCCTTTTGTCTGCAGTGATCTGGACATGTGCATCAAATCCAATCGCCCGTGAAAGACTGTGATCTGAAACTCGTGTTGGCGGCACGGCTCATGGACAATAGCGTCCTGGAACAAGCATCGGACCGGCAGCGACATGCAGATATTGTACTGCATGCTGCAGCCTGTCAACATCTGTCAACAATCCTAGATGTGAATAGTAGGCGGTCAAAGATCCAAAAACAAAGTTCAGACATGGCCAGATTTGAAATCAAGCCACCGCAGCATCCCGACACGAAGCTTCACTACACAACGAGCAGGCACTTTTCGCGCTTTGGTCACGTGGGCTTGCCGCAGGAAAGGCTGCGGCAGGTGCGGCACTAGCTTCTCCAAGACTGCATGCAGGTTTACTATGGAGCTGCGTCGATGCATGATGTTGCGGGCACTTGCGCAACAGCAGCTCTTGTCAAGGTTTGCTGCGTCCAGGCTTGCTGGCCAACTGCACGTACATCTCTTAACTGTTACTGCATTCGAGCGAGCGTGACACGAGGACCTAATTTGGTTGGCTTCCGGTAGGAATGCCGTCCAAGGACTGTGGATCAGTTGCTTGGCGTATTCTGCAGTGCCATGCCTGGCCATGCCCCGAGCATCCACAAAAGGAAGCGCATGTTCCATGTATATCTGTGCAGCATCGCATTTTTGGGCCTCGAGCGCATGTTGGCATTGTGTGGTGCGCCGAGTTCATGCTGAAGAGCGAATGGTTCGTTGGTTGAATCTTCTTCTGCCTAGCGTACGTCGCTCAGCTTGTGTGGAGCCTGGCAGCTTGGCCAAAGCTTTTTGCTGCCCTTAGCAGGATGGTCGGGAGGAGCCCAGCACTGCCTGCACGATCCTGCAGGAATCGATGACCGTGGGTAGATAGGTCAGCTGTACAAGTTGTACATGTTATGCCTTGTTGTAGCTTTTGTCCCGCTGGCGTGTACCTTTGGCCGTTTCCGGGCCTGAAGGCTGTACTTTACCTCTTGCAGGAACAGTCAGTGCGTCTACAACATATACATTTATGGTCCCGCGCTCCGCCTCCGCCCCCCACCCCCCCTCGCGTGTACCCCACTTTACAACCAGAATCCCTTCTTTGCAACCAGAATCCCCACTTAACACACAAGCTTTTCCAGAATCCGTACTTTGCAACCGGTTGCGAAAGCTTCTTAACAATCCTATTAACTGACAACGTCAAAGCCTGGAATCTCCAGCATCATCCTTTACAGCAGCCATGCAGGTTAGAACGGTTAGAAAGTCATGCTGGTTGCAATGTGGGCGTTCTTATCTGGAATCAACAATGCACAGCGAGTGCAAATGTATGCAAATGTTAGACATGTATGTCACAAACATGACCGCTATCGCTGTAAGGAGGGGTCAGGTTCTGAGAAACTGAGACTGCCATGTCCTGCAGGGAGGGGGCCGATGTAAGGAAATGGGAGGCCCGTCGCCGTGAGGTTCGGGTTTTTGCCAGTAGGTGCCATCTCCTTATAAAGGGGCCGATATGGGCCGATGCAGCGGCAGCAGTGGGGGACGCAAGTGCCTTCGAATCGTGGATTGTTTCCGCTCCCGCGATCCGTGGGTCACAAGTGACCGTGCTACCCCGAAGTGGGGTGGCAGAGTCTCCCGTCCAACAAGGGTGTCGCATGTTTTGCCAAGCAAGTTTGTGCCTTCCCCTTCGAGAAAACAGGCATTTCCGAAGCCAGAGAACATGGACAACTAAGGGTTCTGGAGGACAGGCCCGGAAAGGCCCAAGTAAGCAACGCAACAGTACAAGTAAGAGTTCTGCCCTTTGCCATGTGCTGTGCGACTATTCGATGCTGCTGGGGCTCCTGACACAAATGTGCAGTGAATGTGTACGCAGTATGTTTCTCGCCTCGAGACATTCCAGGCCTTGCCGTCGATTTACGCAGCGATGTTTCAGGCCTTAGCAGTGCAGGCCAGCTTAGATGGTCCTGCATCCAGTGTTGGAGCGCGTCAGATGTGCCTGAAGTGCAGGACTCCTTGACGCGCTGGGTTGGGAGCTTAGTTCCTGACCGACATCGTGTTAGATTGGAAGAGCTAGCTGCCAAACCAGCAGGACGGTGGAGTCATGGATGTTGCGGAATTCATGTACAAATCTGCGGCCAGAGCCTGATTTCGTGCCTCAAGAGCACAGTGGTCGTATTGAACAAGTCTGATGACCGCCTAGGAGATGTTTCCAAGTGGGTATCCGGCTGCTGTCGTTGCAGGTCGTCTTGTCTTGTGTTTGCGGAAACCCATGGGTGCTGCACGAGGAATTCCTTGTGCAGTGGCTTCGTATCAATATAGCATCGCTACGGCAGTACAGCACATGGGTCATGGCCGCAGGCCTCAGAGCAGTCCCACAACTGTGGCGGGCTCAAGCTTGCTTGGAATGGCATGTATGCGTACAAGCTTGTGGACGCCTTAAGTGCCGCGCTTGGTACTGGTACTCCGCACTGGGCATCAGATTTGGGCAAGGCCTCCATGGAACCAGCAGCAAGTCCTGCAGCTGCTCAATGGCCGTTGGTGCCTCAAGTCGGCATGTAGAGCCATGACACCCGTCGTTCAAAGGAGTTGCAGTGAGTAGCAGCTCTTTTGAAAAGTAGCTTCGAGTGTCTTCCGATCACAAGCCACCCTTACACCTTACACGAGAGAGCGAAAGAGACGGAGACCAGCCACCCTTCCAGGCCTTCAGAATGACTGTAACCATGTTAGTACGTCTTGCTGCTTGTTTCGTAGTGGTGCTGCACTGATGGCATGTGTGTTTGTAATGTTACCTGCGACGAGCCTGGTTGGGCCTTGCGTAACGGGACGACCTCGACAAATGAATATACTTGTTGATTAGTTTGCAGTTGGTGGAACTACAAGACAGCGGCCTTCCCGCTGCTACTAAGCTAGCAGCGCGGCCACGATTGGGCCCGGTCGCACGGGAACTTGTTCGGCAACATCCACGGCGATGCGCAACTTCGCACTTGCTCTACCGCCAACGAACCGGCGTGTTGGAACTTCTTCGGAAACGCTCCGTGCTGGTCTCGCGGAGGCGTTGATGCAACAACCCGATGCTAGGCTAGCAGCTTGGCCGCGGTCATGCGGGAACTTAGCAAACACCACGCCGTTGGGCAACTTCGCATTTTCTCTACCACCAATGCGGCCGCGGTCACGTAAAAACTTATTCGGCAGTACCGTGCCTTTGCCGCCAAACCTTCTTGCTGAGAGAACTAGAGACAAGGCCGCCGGCAAACCACCCCAGGCCCTCCCTCACTTGGCAGCCCCGTTCCCCGTGCCTCAACCTGCCGCTTTTCGCGACCCCAGCTGCCCTAGCTATCGTCGCCCTGCTCTCAAGTTTGTTGCGTGTCAGGGCCGCACCGCGTCTCTACAGCTCGCTCTGCTCCAAAACCGGGTGTGCGCTGGCGCAGGAAAAGGGGAAGACCTTTCTCCAGCTACCAGCAGCCTCTCAGAAAAGAGTGGGTGCGGGATCAGCCCAAAAAGAGACAAAAGTTTTCGTTCGGGATACAGGAAGGGCTCAAGCAGTAAGGTCGGGCCATGAGATGTACCTTGTTGCCGATGTGTACTGTACTTTCTTGCTCCACTGACAGGGGCCAGACAGCGGCCCGGTATCTTCTTCAATGCTGGACCCTCTTTGTTTTGATTTGCTTGGGGATGGAACCACGGACACTGTCAATCGCCTGCGCTATGAGCTGCTCCATCCACCACAGAGTACCCGTCTGATAGGCTTGGCCATCTTGGACCGTGCACGGACACCTGTTGCCTGGAGCGAAAGAGAGTTGGGTGCCCTTCGAAACCCAAGTGCTGTCAACACCACGTCTCTTATTTCTGGCACTTCTGACCAAAAACCGCTCCCTGCTGTATCCCGAACAGCAAACTTGACTCGAAACGTTAAGATCCCTGTTCTCACAGTGCGTTGACCTTCCACTCAGCCCTCAACCTGACTTTTCGGGTACCCTCTCAAACTGAGAAAGAAATGGTTATACTATTATACTAGTTTCAGAGGCCCGCGCTGGGTTCCGATCCCAGACGTTGCAACGAAAGCGCCATGGCCGAACTGCGGCCGTGAGACTTCTGTGGTCCACCACAGCCCAAGCGCGTGGAATTTCGTGAGCCTTTCAGGCCATGCAAACAGATACGTGTAGGTCGTTTACACTGCCAAGGTCAGGAATGGCCACGCCGATCCGCATGGATTTGTGCGCTGCCTCAGGGGTTGGGCTGTGGGGCCACATGCGTTGAGGCGCTGCAAGCTAGTGTGGACCGAGGTTCCTTTCAGCAGCTGATTCAGGACTTGCTGTTGGCCCTATCGTTTTTGTTCAGAGCCGATCGGAGTTGCGTTTGCACAGGATTGGCAGCGTGATCGCTTGCCAGATTTCTAGATGGAGCATGAGGGCGAAACAGATCTGCGGGAGCTTCATGCACGGAGGCAACTAAGTGTCAACGTGTGCGGTTGCTGAATGTGGCGGTTGCTTGCATCGCGGGAATGCGGGCGAAAGCGGCGAAACCTGAAGCCACCCTCTCAAAGAGATGTTCGAACAAAAAGTCCGTTCCCATGGCATCGCGGCAGCACTGTCGCATAGCCAGATATAGCCAGTGCTAGCTCTTGAGAAGGCCTACTTGGCCTACACATTGTCAGCAGAACTGCCCGCATGCAACTTCACCTTCCAAACATCGTGATGGGCCCAATCTGCATGTGGGCATGATGTGTGCGCAATCAAGTTGACCACGTACTTGCAAAGCATTTGAAAAGTGCGACGGCAGCTAGGTGCAAGAGGGTGGCGAACACTGGCGAATCCGCCAGCAGCCCATCATGTCGGAAAGAAGCCAAATTGCAACTTGCTGAAGAGAATTCTTGAGCCGACATCTTGCAGGCGCCAAAATCCAGCGCGGTACTTTGTAACTTTCAGTATCTTTGTCCTATAGACTCAAACCTAGAACCTGGAGCAGACCGAAACCTTGAAGGGCGCGCGCACGCGCACGCACACGCACACACACACACACACACACACACACACACACACACACACACACACACACACACACACACACACACACACACACACACACACACACACACACACACACACACACACACACACACACACACACACACACACACACACACACACACACACACACACACACACACACACACACACACACACACACACACACACACACACACACACACACACACACACACACACACACACACACACACACACACACACACACACCACCAAAAATGCAAAACAAGCAAGCACACCCACACCCACTGCCAACCGGACCCACACCGGACCTGCACCTACACCTACATGCACCTGCACTCCACACCCACATCCACACCCACATGCACCCACACAACCACTAACACAGACACAATGGAGTCCAGCAAGCTGGACTCCCTTTGACTTGTGCTTGACAATGGAGTCCAGCAAGCTGGACTCCGTTTGTATTGTGCTTGACAGCACCACGGGATTGCCCTACACCCTGAAACCCATTCCCTTAAATCCTGAATAACCATCAACACAAATGTGTGTGTGCATGCATGTGTGTGGGTGTGGTGTAGGTGCGGGTCTGTGAGTGGCTGTGGTGTCAGGATGGGGGTAGCTGGAGGGGGGGGGGTTCATGGTTGGTGGTCAGTGGGTGCATGTGCACATGTGTGATCATGTGTGTGTATGTGTGCATGTGAGGTATGTATAGAGTCATGGAGATGTTAATTGTGTATTATGAGGCCAGTTAAAACTGAGAACTAATACTGCGCTGACAATGAGAATTGAATGAATAATTATGTGTCGTGCAGGTCTGCATGTCTGAAGTCAAGCCGAGGTGCCACCTGACAGGGGGTTCAAAACTAGAGTGAGGGAAGCAGGGTGGTTTCAGGCTCACCACCGACCACCGGTTCTCGGGTTCGGTGCCCACCGGTCTTTGGGTCGGCGCCCCTTTCTCTCACTGCTTCCCTGTTACAATCCCCAGGGCTTCTGGGGGGTGCCCACCTCTCGCCGATGAACTTTTCGAGGCAGGCTCCGGCTCTGCACATAGATGGAGTCCCGGAACAACGGGTCGATATGTGTTTGGCAGCACAAGCTGGGTTGTGCTTAACAGCACTGCAGTGGGGGTTGTGCTTTTCAGCACTAGGTCAGGGTTGTGCTTTGCAGCACCGGGGTCAGGGTTCGGGGTTGTGCTTTGCAGCACAGGTAGGCTTGTGCTTTTCAGCACCTCCTGGGTCAGGGTTGGGGGTTGTGCTTAACAGCACATGGGTTAGGGGTCGTGCTTTTCAACACCAAGGGTCAGGTTTGTGCTTGAAGCACACGGGTTCGGGGTTGTGCTTGGCAGCACGAGGTGCTTGTCAGCACCACATGAACAACGACTGCATTCTTGTGCAAACCCAAATCTGATAACCCCACACCCGAACCCTAAACCCCCCAAAAAGCATTTAAAGGTATACAAAATGGTTTAACAAAACACAATTTTGGAATCAACAATAGTGCAACAAAGCCAAGAATTGAATTGGAATTTAAGTTACCAAAGTCCGGAATTTAGGTTCCAAGACCCTGGTTTTTGTCTATTTTGAGAAGCACACAACAGAGATGCAACAGAAGATCTCGGCAGAAGAAGAGGCAGTCGTGGGCGTTAGATTCAGGAAGCACTTGTTGTTGCAGCCATGTTTCAGCTTGATGTTTGTTAGTCGCACGCGTTTGCTCATGTTGCAGTAGTGATCCATGGTGTGTCGAGCTACACTGAATGTGCATGTACAGGAAGTCGAACGGTTTGATGGAGAAAAACAGCCAGAAGAGAAGGTACCGGCAAAGGAAGAGGCCGTCGCGGGCACGAGTTTTCATGGAAACCCTTGTGGTTGCAGCCGTGTTCCAGATTGATGTTTTGGTAGTAGCAGTATTGTTTTGGCGCATCTTGTAGTATCGGTCGTATGCGACTCTTGAACATTTGGTGTGAGTCGACCTACAACGTTCAGCTCAGCTGCAGCAGACGGATGAGCATAGCGAGGACCAGCCGAGCTGCCGGATGAATTCCCAGCCGTAGTCCTTTTTCGCTGTTTGGCTGTGCAGCCGGCTCTTGTGCGGACGGTGGACGTGTGTTCATCTACACTTCAAGAATCCCAAACTCAAGATAGTCCAAGCGCGACGTTGGGCGTTCAGCACAGGATTGCACGGGATCCATATTATTTGATGCAAGCACTTCCTAGTCACATGCTTCACGTCGCAAGAAAAGGCAAGAATGCACGGGCAACCATTGGCAACACGCGGCGGAGCACCTCTCGGGGCTGCTTCTGTTCCTGAAACGTTCCTTCTCCTGCGCATAAACATTCAGTGTGAGTCGAGGTCCCACGGTCCCACCGCTGATCATTTCTGCAACAGACGGATCAGCGTGGCAAGGACAAGTCAAAGCTGTCGGATGAAGAGCTAACCGTGGCAGCTATCCTCAAACGGTGCGGCCTCCTTAAGGTTCATCCAGAGTTCAAAAAGGTGCCGAGGCGAGGAAGAAGCATATTGTGCCACTGCGCATGCAGGATATCACTTGATCCATATTTCTGCCTGATGCAGACAGTTTTTGATCACGAAC